AAAACGAAAATCCCCAAAAACAAATAATCTCCCTTTTTTTTTAGGGGATTTTTATCTTCCGTCAGCGGATGCAAATTCTCGAACAACGATCGTTCGACTCCTTCCTTTGTTTCTCGTCCCACCCTTTTTTTATTGCTTTTCTTTCGGAAATTTTAAATATCCAAGCAGGAAGAAAAGAAGAAGCATGAAACAAAAATAAAAACAAAAGAGCGTCCCAGGAAAAGTTTTACGTCTTTCGGAGCAGATGGAGAAAGGAGAATGGAGGAGAGGAAAGAGCTTCAGTTTTATGCGCGCACCCGCAACAAAACAAGAAAAACCAAACAAAAACTTGAAGGGAAATTTTATTTTTATATCAAAGTGCGAGCACTGAATCGAAACAAAAGAGGGGAAAAAATATAGTTAGTCGATTAACTCATTGTTTCCAATTGTATCTTCATTTCTTTTTAAACGATTACAATAGGAAATAAAACTTCTTTTGTTTTCGATTTGAACTGTCAATTCAGATTGAGAAACTAACCAATATTAATTGACGTAAGATTGTCAAAATTTGACATTTAGAAAATAATTGTCAAATTTTCTCAATTATTATTTTATTATCTAATTCCATTACAATTTACTTACAATCAATGTTAATTAATAATCCTTATATAGTTAGTAACAAATAAACACGATTTCGATTAACTCATTGTTTCCAATTATATTCTCATTATTTTTAACAATTACAACAACATATAATTATAAAATTTCTTATGTTTTCGATTTGAACTGTCAATTTAGATTGCTAACATAACCACCATTAATTGACGTAAGATTGTCAAAATTTGACATTTAGAAGATAAATCAAAGTCTACTAAATTATTATTTTGTTGTCTAATTCCATTACAATTTACTTACAATCAATTTTAATTAATCCTTTGTTAATATATAGTTAGTGACAAATCAACGATTTCTATTAACAACATATAATTATAAAACTTCTTATGTTTTCGATTTGAACTGTCAATTTAGATTGCTAAACTAACCAACATTAATTGACATAAGATTGTCAAAATTTGACATTTCGTTTGGAAAGTAATTCAAAGTCTACTAAATTAATATTTTGTTGTCTAATTCCAATGCAATTTACTTAAAATCAATGTTAATTAATCCTTTGTTAATATATAGCTAGTGACAAATCAACGATTTCTATTAACAACATATAATTATAAAACTTCTTATGTTTTCGTTTTGAACTGTCAATTTAGATTGCTAAACTTATCAATATTAATTGACGTAAGATTGTCAAAATTTGCCATTTGGAAAATAAATGTCAAGTTTTCTCAATTATTATTTTGTTGTCTAATTCCAATACAATTTACTTACAATCAATTTTAATTAATCCTTTATTAATATATAGTTAGTAACAAATAAACACGATTTCGATTAACTCATTGTTTCCAATTGTATTCTCATTTTTTTTTTAACAATTACAACAACATACAATTATAAAACTTCTTATGTTTTCGATTTGAACTGTCAATTTAGATTGCTAAACTAACCAACATTAATTGACGTAAGATTGTCAAAATTTGACATTTAGAAAATAAATGTCAAATTTTATCAATTATTATTTTATTATCTAATTCCATTACAATTTACTTACAATCAATGTTAATTAATAATCCTTTATTAATTTATAGTTAGTGATAAATCAACGATTTCGATTAACAACATATAATTATAAAACTTCTTATGTTTTCGATTTGAACTGTCAATTTAGATTGCTAACCTAACCAATATTAATTGACGTAAGATTGTCAAAATTTGACATTTCGATTAACAATATATAATTAAAAAAAACTTCTTATGTTTTCGTTTTGAACTGTCAATTCAGATTGCTAACCTAACCAACATTAATTAACCTAAGATTGTCAAAATTTGACATTTTGTTAATATATAATTAGTGACAAATCAACGATTTCTATTAACAACATATAATTATAAAACTTCTTATGTTTTCGTTTTGAACTGTCAATTTAGATTGCTAAACTAATCAATATTAATTGACGTAAGATTGTCAAAATTTGCCATTTGGAAAATAAATGTCAAATTTTCTCAATTATTATTTTGTTGTCTAATTCCAATACAATTTACTTACAATCAATTTTAAATAATCCTTTGTTAATATATAGTTAGTAACAAATAAACACGATTTCGATTAACTCATTGTTTCCAATTGAATTCTCATTTTTTTTTAACAATTACAACAACATAAAATTATAAAACTTCGTATGTTTTCGATTTGAACTGTCAATTTAGATTGCTAAACTAACCAATATTAAT